GTGTCACCTTCAACAGCATCTTTAAGAAAGGCCACAGGGCTCATTGAAGCTTTTTTTAAAAAATAGATTTTTAAAAAATGTTCAATTTTTTTAAATGTTTATTTATTTATTTTTGGGGGGTAGGGGCAGAGAGAGAGGGAGGAAGAGAGAGAATCCCAAGCAGGTTCTGCTGTGCTGACAGCACAGAACCTGATGCAGGCTCGATCTCCCAACTGTGAGATCGTGACCTGAGCTGAAATCAAGAGTTGGACACTTGACCTACTGAGCCACCTAGGCACTCCTAAAAAAATGGATATTTTGTCCCTTTAATGCTAGTTTTAAAAAATGTATTTATTGTTTGATTTACATCCAAGTTAGCGTATGGTGCAACAATGATTTCAGGAGTAGATTCCTTAATGCCTCTGACCCATTTAGCCCATCCCCCTCCCACAATCCCTCCAGCAGCTCTCTGTTTGTTCTCTATATTTAAGAATCTTTTATGTTTTGTCCCCCTCATATAAATATAAACATATACAAAGAATGTTTTTATATTCTTTTTGCTTCCCTTCCCTTATGTTCATCTGTTTTGTATCTTAAATTTCTCATGTGAGTGAAGTCACATGATATTTGTCTTTATCTGACTAATTTCACTTAGCATAATGCCTTCTAGTTCCATTCACATAGTTGCAAATAGCAAGATTTCATTTTTTTAAATTTTAAAATGTTTTAATTATTTTTGAGATAGAGACAGAGCACCAGCAGGGGAGGGGAAGTGAGAGAGGGAGACAAAAGAATCTGAAACAGGCTCCAGGCTCTGAGCTGTGAGCACAGAACCTGATGTGGGGCTTGAACCCATGAACCGCAAGATCATGACCTGAGCTGAAGTCAGACACTTAACCAACTGAGCCACCCAAGCGCCCCAAGATTTCATTATTTTTGATTGCCAAATAATACTCCATTGTATAACATTTGGGTTCTTTATATTTTGGCTATTATCGATAGCACTGCTGTAAACATTGGGGTGCATGTGCCCCTTCGAAACAGCACACCTGTATCCTTTGGGTAAATACCTAGTAGTGCAGTTGCTGGGTCGTAAGGTAGTTCTACTTTTAATTTTTTGAGGAACCTCCATTCTGTTTTCCAGAGTGACTGCACCAGTTTGCATTCCCGCCAGCAGTGCAAAAGAGATCCCCTTTCTCTGCTTCCTCGCCAACATCTGTTGTTGCCTGAGTTTATTAATGTTAGCCATTCTGACTGGTGTGATGGGGTATCTCGTTGTGGTTTTGATTATATTTCCCTGGTGCTGAGTGATTTTAAAAAAATTTTTTAATGTTTATGGGGCCCCTGGGTGGCTTAGTTGGTTAAGCGTCCGACTTTCGCTTAGGTCATGATCTCGCGGTTTGTGGGTTCGAGCCCTGCTGACTGCCAGCTCGGAGCCTGGAGCCTGTTTCAGAGTCTGTATCTCCCTCTCTCTCTGACCCTCCCCTGCTCACACTGTCTCTCTCTCTCTCTCTCTCTCCCCTAGAAATTAAAAAATAAATAAATAATAAATAAAAATTTTTTAATATTTATTTTTGAGAGAGAGAGAGAGAGAGAAACACACAGAGCGTGAGTAGGGAAGGACTAGAGAGAGAGAGGGAGACACAGCATCTGAGGCAGGCTCCAGGCTCTGAACTGTTAGCACAGAGCCCGACGCAGGGCTCGATCTCACAAACCGGGAGATCATAACCTGAGCCGAAGTCCGACGCTTAACTGACTGAGTCACCCAAGTGCCCCAATGCTGATTGATGTTGAGCAGCTTTTCATGTGTCTGTTAGCCATCTGGATGCCCTCTTTGGAAAAGTGTCTCTTCATGGCTTCTTCCCATTTCTTAACTGAATACTTGTTTTTTGGGTGTTGAGTTTGGTAAGTTCTTTATAGATTTGGATTCTAACCCTTTATCTGATATGTGTCTGTTGGAAAAGTTTCTGTTCATGGCTTCTTCCCATTTCTTAACTGGATTATTTGTTTGGGGGAGCACTCAGGTTATGATTTCACTACCTAGTAGTGCAATTGCTGGGTCGTAGGGTAGTTCTTTATAGATTTTGGTTACTAACACTTTATCTGATATATCATTGGCAAATATCTTCTTCCATCCCACCTGTTGCCTTTTAGTTTTGCTGATTATTTCCTTTGCTGTGCAAAAGGTTTTTATTTTGATGAGGTCTCAATTTTTTGCTTTTGCTTTTGTTGCCCTTGCCTCTGGATATGTGTTGAGTGAGAAGTTGCTGCAGCCGAGGTGAAAAGAGGTTTTTTTCCTGCTTTCTCCTCTAGGATTTTGATGGCCTCCTGTCTTACGTTTAGATCTTTCACCCATTTTGAGTTTAGTTTTGTGTATGGTGTAAGAAAGTGGCTCAGATTCATTTCTCTGCATGTTGCTGTCCAGTTTTCCGAGCACTACTTGCTGAAGAGACTGTCTTTATTCCATTGGATATTCTTTCCTGCTTTGCCAAATATTAGTTGGCCGTATGTTTGTGGGTCCCTTTCTGGGTTCTCTGTTCTGTTCCATTGATCTGATTGTTTTTGTGCCAGCACCATACTGTCTTGATGATTACAGCTGTGTAATACAGCCTGAAGTCCGGGATTGTGATGCCTCCTGCTTTGGTTTCGTTTTTCGAGATTGCTTTGGCTATTCAGAGTCTTTTCTGGTTCCATACAAATTTTAAGATTGTTTGTTCTAGCTCTCTGAAGAATGCTGATGTTATTTTGATAGGTATTGCATTAACTATGTAGATTGCTTTGGGTAAAACATAGATTATTTTGTGAGGTAATTAAAAGGGGGACTGAATTGATGTCTGGGTTGGCAGATTTTGCAGGAAAGACTAAATTGAGGACAGCAGAGATCCTGTGTGTGTAAATCTATTGAATTTTATTTGTGCTGTCAGCGCAGAGCCTGCTTTGAGCCTTCTCTCTCTGCCCCTCCCCTACTCTCTCTCGTGCTCTTTCTCTCTCAAAAATAAACATAAAAAATAAAAAGAAATTTCCCTCTTTTTTAAAACTTGCTACCCACCTATCTAGAGTGGTCTCTTTCTTTGGTTTCTCCTTGCCCTCCGAGTATGGGTACCTATGGGTATGCAATTTTGGCAGATTGATTTTGGATTCAGTAATTTTGCTGATACATCCTGTTCTAACAGTTTTTACATCATTGTACATAGATTTGGTATGTCAGCAATTACGCCTGCCTACAGCAAGAATATTGGATCTTTATATGTGTACTAATAATGCTTTCTAAAGAAATAGATTTAGTTTATCTAAAGATTTATTTTTAAGTAATCTCTCCACCGAACATGGAGTTTGAACTCACAGCTCTGAGATGAAGAGATGCATGCTCTATGGACTAAGCCAGCCAGGTGCCCCCAAAATGGTTTTTATTTTTATTTATTTATTTTAATGTCCACACATTTTTGAGAGAGAGAGAGAGAGCACGCACTCAAATGGGGGAGGGGCAGACACACACACACACACACACACACACACACACACACACACACAGAATCTGAAGTAGGCTCCTGGCTCTGAGCTATTAGCACAGAGTCTGACGCGGGGCTCAAACACACGAACTGTGAGACCATGACCCAACTGAGCCACCCAGGCGCCCCAAATGAATTTTATTTTTAGAGCATTTTTAACTTCATAGCTTAATGGAACAGAAAGTACAGCGCATTGCCACGTACCACCTGCCCTCGCCTGGCCTCCCACCATCAACAACCTGCATCAGAGCAATACGTTTATTACAATGAACCAACAGTGATACATCATCAACCGAAGTCCATAGTTTACATTGGGTTTTACTCTCTGTGTGACACATTTTATGGGTTTGGGCCAATGTATAATGACATGTATCTGCCATTATAGTATCATACAGAGTAGTTTCACTGTCCTAAAACCCTCATGCATATGTATCCACCTCTTCTGTTCTTCCTCCTCTCAGCCTGGCAACTACTATCTTTACTTTATAGTTTTGCCTTTTCTAGAATGTCATGTTGCTGGGATCATATGGTATGCAGCCTTTTCAGACTGTTTTTTTCACTTAGTAATATTTATTTAAGGTTCTTGCATTTCTTTTCATGGCTCCATAGCTCATTTCTTTTTGGCATCGAACAGAATTTGTCTGTGGGGATGACAGTTACTTATTTCACCTCCTGAAGGGCGTCTCTGTTGCTTCCAAGTTTTGACAGCTATGAATAAAGCTGCTATAAACACTTGTGTGCAGAAATCTGTGTGTGGACATAAACGTCCACCTCATATGGATAAATACCTAGGGGCGAGATTTCAGGATCATGCTAGAGGCTGTTTAATTTTGTAAGAAACCCTCATCTATCCTCCAGTGTGGCTCTACCATTTTGTATTCTCATCAATGGCGAAGGCAAGTTCCTGCTTGCCCACTTCCATGCTGGTATGTGGTGGTATCACTTTCAGATTATACCCTCTCTAATGGACATGTAATGTATCTCACTGTTTCAAATCGCCATTGACAATGGGCACTTTTGGTGAGGTGTCTGTACAGATCTTTTTTTTTTTTTTTTTAATGTTTTATTTATTTCTAGGAGAGAGAGACAGCGTGAGCAGGGGAGGGTCAGAGAGAGAGGGAGTCACAGACTCTGAAACAGGCTCCAGGCTCTGGGCTGGCAGTCAGCACAGAGCCTGACGCAGGGCTCGAACTCATGAACCGCGAGATCATGACCTAAGCGAAAGTCGGACGCTTAACCGACTAAGCCACCCAGGCGCCCCTGTACAGATCTTTTATCCATTAAAAAAAATCAAGCTGTTTGTTTTCTTGTTGTTGAATTTTAACAGTTCTTTGTATATTTTGGATTAACAGTCCTTTTTTTTTTTTTAAAATTTTTTTTAATGTTTTATTTATTTCTAGGAGAGAGAGAGAGAGACAGCGTGAGCAGGGGAGGGTCAGAGAGAGAGGGAGTCACAGACTGAAACAGGCTCCAGGCTCTGAGCTGGCAGTCAGCACAGAGCCCGACGTGGGGCTCGAACCCACGAACCGCGAGATCATGACCTAAGCGAAAGTCGGACGCTTAACCGACTAAGCCACCCAGGCGCCCCGGATTAACAGTCCTTTATCAGATATGTCTGTTGCAAATGTTTCCTCCCAGTGTCTGGCTTGTCTTCTCATTCCCTTGACAGTGTCTTTCATGGAGTAGAATGTTGTAATTTTTATGAAGTCTGACTTAACAATTATTTCTCTCATGGATTATGCCTTTGGTGTTGTATCTAAAAAGTTGTCACAGGGGCGCCTGGGTGGCTCAGTCAGTTAAGCGCCTGACTCTTGATTCCCGCTCAGGTCATGATCTCATGGTTCATGGAATTGAGCCCTGAGTCAGATTCTGCACTGACAGTGTGGAGCCTGCTTGGGATTCTCTCTCTTTCTCTCTCTCTCTCCTTCTCTCTCTGCCCCTCCCCTGCTCTTGCTCTCTCTTTCTCTCAAAAATAAACATTAAAAAAAAGTTATCACAGAAGGTAAGTTCATCTAGATTTTCTCCCACTATCTTCTAGGGTTTTTATAGCTTTGCGTTTTACGTTTAAGTCTAGGATTGATTTTGGGCTAATTTTTGTGAAGGGTGTAGGGTCTGTATCTAGATTGATTTTTTTTCCCCATTGCATGTGGATGTCCACATGTTCCAGTGCTGTTTGCCGGAGAGACTATCTTTTTCCCATTGAATTACCTTTGCTCCTTTGTAAGAGAGCAGTTTATTGTCTTTGTGTGAGTCTATTTCTGGGCTTTCTGTTCTGCTCCATTTATCTGTTTGCCTATTATTTTACTGGTGTTACACTTTCTTAATTAATTTGGTTTTATATCAAGTCTTGACAATGGGCTGTATCAGCCTTCTGACTTTTTTCTTCCACTTTATTATTTTTTTTTAATGTTTATTTTTTTTGAGAGAGAGCATGAGCAGAAGAGGGGCAGAGAGAGGGGGACAGAAGATCCAAAGCAGGCTCCATACTGACAACCAGCATCCCGATGTGGGGCTTGAACTCACAAATCACAAGATCATGATTTGATCTGAATTTGGACACTCAACTGACTGAGCCACCCAAGGGCCCCTCATCTACTTTAATATTGGGTTGGCTTTTCTGGACCTTATGTCTCCATATACAGACTTTAGAATCAGTTAGTAACATGGTGGAATTTTGATTAGGATTTCATAAATCTATAGATCAGTTTGTGAAGACCTAACATCTTACTAATATTGAGTCTTTTAATCCATGAGCGTAGATATAAGCTGTATTCCATCATGCCATGATAATTTATGGCAGTGTTTGCAATATTGTATTTCATAATTTTGGATCCCTAGGCATGTATGAGATTTGTAAAATATTTGTGGTTATCTTCGTAAGATTTTGGAAAATTGTTAGGAAGTATCATTCTTCAGTATTTTTGGATGGTGACGGGACGCCTGGGTGGCTCAGTCGGTTAGGCATCCAACTTCGGCTCAGGTCATGATCTCATGGTTTGTGGGTTCGAGCCCTGCATTGGGCTCTGTGCTGACAGCTAGCTTGGAGCCTGGAGCCTGTTTCAGATTCTGTGTTTCCCTGTCTCTCTGACCGTCCCCTGCTCATGCTGCCTCTCTCTCTCTCTTCGAAATAAATAAAACATTAAAAAATATTTTTGGATGGTGTAAGTTGCATTGGTTTATGGAATATATGTATTTTTAAGTATTTATTTATTTATTTATTTTTGAGAGACATAGAGACACAGAGCATGAGTGGGGGGAGGGATTCTGATGGGGGAAACATCAGCACAGAGCTCAACATGGTGCTTGAACCCATGAACCATGAGATCATGACCTGATCCGAAGTCCAACGCTCAACCATCTGAGCCACCCAGGTTCTCCTGGTTTATCTAATATTTAAGAGTAGCAGGATGCTATTCATAAACCATATGACCTAGTGCTGTTTATAAGAGGAACCTCTCTTATATAAATATTGCTGTTTATTCTATAGACATTGCTCAGCTTAGAATTTGTATCTCTTTTTGGGTCCATATGGATAAAATATTTATTTGTAGAAATATCCACATCAGCTAGACTTTTCAAGTGATTGCACTGAGTGGTACAAAGCATCTCTAGTTATTAACATGCTCTCTGTATTACTCTTCTTGAGGAATCCTTCTTGCAGCGAACTTCTTAGGGCAACACAGGCTCTGATGAAATACATGTGAATCGTTGCCAGCCCCTCATTTGTCAGGTGGGAACATTCCCAGTTCCACCACCTGAGACACCGTCTGCCTCCAGGTGTGGTGGGAAGGGAAGTTGCTCCCTGACGCTAAACTTGCCAAGAACTTATAATTGTTTCTGGGAATTGGGATCTGTTGCACTCCCAACCTGGGGCTCAAACTCATGACCCTGAGGTTAAGAATTCCCTGCTCCACTGACAGCTATCCAGCCAGCTGCCCCTGGGAGGAAGTCTTTACAAATTAGTCTTACTTGCCTCATTGTGCACTGTCATGGAAAGTGCAGGTGAACCAATAATTGCAGTTCTGTGGGGAGGTGAGGTCACAGAATCAAACCCATATCAGCTCTGGTTGCCTTCCTCCGTCACAAAGGGGGTGGCATGACTGTCCCACCGAGCCTTCATCCTGGAGGCAGGAAAGGGCAGCAGGAAAGGGTGAGTATTTTCCGGGTCCATCTGTGTGACTCCATCTGTAAGGGAGTGAGGTGTCTCAGGGTCTGAGTCTGAATTGGTCCTTATGGCTGGAAAAAGGCTTCTTCTGGGGTAAAAACTGGTTTGGCTGAGGTCCTCCCCCAGACCCTAACTGCTCCTTGTGTAGTGTTTGGTTTTTTTTTTTATGTTTATTTATTTTTGAGAGAGAGACCAAGCCAGCAAGGATGGGCAGAGAGAGAGGGAGACACAGAATCTGAAGCAGGCTCCAGGATCAGAGCTGTCAGCACAGAGCCTGATGCAGGTCTTGAACTCATGAACTGCTAGATCATGACCTGAGCTGAAGTCAGATGCTCAACTGACTGAGCCACCCAGGCACCCTTCCTCCCAGAGATCTAATGTCCATCCCTCCCTGACTGTGCTTGTTGGAGTTAGTTATAAGTAGTAACAAAATCTCGGGGCGCCTGGGTGTCTCAGTCTGTTGAGCGTCCGACTTTGGCTCCAGTCATGATCTCACAGTTCGTGGATTTGAGCCCCACGTCGGGCTCTGTGCTGACAACTCAGAGCCTGGAGCCTGTTTCAGATTCTGTGTCTCCCTCTCTCTCTTCTCCTCCCCCAATCATGCTGTGTTTCTCTCTGTCTCAATAATAATAAACATTAAAATTTTTTTTTAAAAAGTAGTAACAAAATCTGAACTTTATGATCCCTAAGACTGCGATTCAGAAATTAAAATGCTATTCAAGGTGCTTCCTGAAACCACAGAGAAATTTACACGATTAGGGTAGTTGTGTTCTTAAAGTGTTACTGTGCAAGTGCAAGTGACAGTGAGTTTCATAGAGCCAATGATATTGTATCTCAATGCAAATAACGTCCCTGAGTGGCATGTGCTAAACCATAGGTTTTTCTCCTATATACACGTGATGCATCTAATGGACCTAGTAATTAAATCTTTCCTGAAAATATTTGCAAGCTAGCGAGCAGGGAAGGACAATTTTCCTTTGTGAAGGTAGGACAGGAGACTTTCAGAAAAAGGTGACCCTCACATCTGAGCGATTTGGAGAGCAGAAAAATGAAGGACTTCAGCACTTTTCAGCTTAAATAGGTCTTCTGATATTTTGTGTGTTTTTCAAAGTTCTGGCATCATTTTCATACTCATCCTTCATTTCCCCTAATTTGATGCACACAGTTTCAAGCCTTGAAATTCCATTTCACATGCTCAGCTTGTAGCTTATCATCTTTCTCTTCTTGTAGTTTTTGTTATATTTTTCAAAAATCACAGCTCATTGCATGCTAAGGAGGAATAATTTAGATCCTATTCTAAATGTTTTCTTGGGGCGCCTGGGTGGCCCAGTCAGTTAAGCATCCGACTTCGGCTGGGGTCATGATCTCACAGTTCGTGGGTTCGAGCCCCACATCAAGCTCTGTGCTGACAGCTCAGAGCCTGGAGCTGCTTCAGATTCTGTGTCTCCCTCTCTCTCTGCCCCTCCCCTGCTAGCACTGTCTCTCTCTCTCTCAGAAATAAATAAATAAATACAAACATTTAAAAATGTTTTCTTTATCTCCAAATGCTTTATTTATACTTCATCTTAGCCAAAAGGCCGAGAAGTGATCCAAATGCTTTATTTAAATTACAAATCCCATAGTTAAAAATAGGGCAAAGTGAAATATTACACAATACTTTCTGTAGTGGGGGGAAAAATCATAGGATTACTTCTGTTGCTATACTAACATTGATCCATATTTGGGAAATCCATTTTGCTCATGGATAGATAATATTCAGGTCTTTATTCAGACCTTTTCATCTTCATTCACAAGTGATGTTGGTCAGTGGAACAAACATATTAACAAAAACGAGGAATCGGCACAAACCTAAATTAAAATAAATTTCAAATATGACCAAGTATGCATGCATATATCTGTATAATTTAAAGATACAACCAGATACAGGTGCCTGATTTCCTCCTTCTTGATCTCAGGGCCCATGTTGGGGTAGGGATTACTTAAAAATAGAATCTTAAAAAAAAATTTAAAAAATACAACCAGGTATCTTGGTATGATCAAGTAAACACCAAGATTGTTAGATTGTTGCAACCTGGCTATTTTAATATTTAAAGGAGTCAAATAACCTTATTTTAATTAAAGTCTTCTGTCTGTAAAACATATACACCTATGAGTATTAAATAATTTACCATAGGTAAAGCATTAATAAGAGTGACTAGGGGCTCCTGGGTGGTTAAGATTTCCAATTTGGGCTCAGGTCATGATCTCGTGGTTTGTGGATTTCAGTCCTGTGTCAGGCTCTGAGCTGACAGAGCCTGCTTCAGATTCTGTGCCTCCCTCTCTCTCTGCCCCTCCTCTGTTCTGTACTCTCTGTCTCAAAAATAAATATAAAACATTTTTTAAAAATTAAATAACAGTAAATGAGAACTATATAAAGAAATATATTAAACTTGGAAATCTTTATTTTTATTTATTTTCATTTTTTAAAATGTTTATTTTTGAGAAAGAGAGACAGAGTGTGAGCAGGGGAGGGGCAGAGAGAGAGGGAGACGCAGAATCTGAAGCAGGCTCCAGACTCCGAGCTGTCAGCACAGAACCCGGCGTGGGGCTGGAACTCACAAACTGCGAGATCATGATCTGAGCCAAAGGTGGACGTTTAACCTACTAAGCCACCCTAAACTTGGAAATCTTTAATAAAAGAACACATGTGCATTTGAAAGAAATTCTCAGGGAAAAGTAGTAGCATGTGCAGAATTTTGAATTTATTTTCCACAAATCATTAGCCCACAACTCCTGTTTTCATGCAGAGTCGTCTCTTTGTGAATGTGAACACTGAGCCCTGGGAAATGGCAGATTGGCTTCAATGGATGCGAAATTTGCACTGATTTTATTCCAGATAGTTGTTGGAGTCCTGGGAAACTTCTGGCTCTTCTATCATTTTACGTCCCTTTGCCTCAGGGGATACGGGGCAAAGTCCACGGCCTTGATTCTCAGACACTTGACTTTAGCCAATTCCTTGGTCATTCTCTCGCGAGGAATCCCAGAGACCATGGCAGCTTTTGAGCTGAAATCTTTCCTCAATGACTTTGGATGCAAAGTTGTTTTCTTTGTTCACAGAGTGGCCCGGGGTGTGTCCATTGACAGCACCTGCCTCTTGAGTATCTTCCAGGCCATTACCATCAATCCCTGGAACTCCAGATGGGCAGTGCTTAAAGGGAAAGCTCCTGAATACATTGGCCCCTCAAATATCCTCTGCTGGATCCTGAACATAATACTCAATATTATGGTTCCTGTGTGTGTGACTGACAAATGGAACAATAAAAACGCTTCAAGAACTATGGACTTAGGATACTGTACTTCTGAACTGCATGACAAAGACACAGTTTTACTATACATGATAGTGATATCTGCCCATGACGTTTTCTGCTTGGGGCTCATAACTTGGGCCAGTGTGTTCATGGTTTCCATCTTGTACAGGCACAGGCAGCAGGTCCAACACATTCATAGGACCCAAGTGTCCCCCACAGCCTCCCCTGAGATCAGAGCCACTCAAAGCATCCTTTTCCTGGTGAGCACCTTCGTGTCTTTTTACACCCTGTCCTCCATAATTCACATTTATTTTTCTATTGTTTATAAGCCCAGCTGGTGGCTGATGAACACTTCTGCCTTAATCAATTCTGGTTTCCCAACTGCCTACCCCTTTATTCTCCTGAGTCACAACCACCGTGTATCCAGATTCTTCTCTGTGTGCATGGGAAGAAATACACAATTCCCTTGTCTTATCAGAGAAATATAAATTGTCTGGTTGCACTGCATTCAGCTACTTTTTTTTTAATGTCTATTTATTTTTGAAAGAGAGACAGACAGCATAATTGAGGAAGCGGCAGAGAGAAAGTGAGACACAGAACATGAAGCAGGCTCCAGGCTCTGAGCTGTCAGCACAGGGGCTTAAACCCATGAACCTTGAGATCATGACCTGAGCCAAAGTCAGAGGCTTAACCAACTGAACCACTCAGGTGTCCCAGTGTTTAGCCACTTCTTATACTCATCCTTCAAGAAATCTTCAGCAAGATTACAGTCTTATTTTATTTAAAAAATTGTTTTAAGTTTATTTATTTTGAGAAAGAGAGCAAGTTGGGGAGGGACAGAGAGAGAAGGGAGAGAGAGAATCCCAAGCAGGCTCTGCAGTGACAGTGCAGAGCCTGATGTAGGGCTTGAACTCACCAAACTGTGAGATCATGACCCAAGCTCAAACCAAGGTTGGATGCTTAACCAATTGAGCCACCCAGGTGCCCCACTCAGTTTTATTTTATATAGAGTTTTGAATAAGATAGAGATTCTGCTACAACAATAAAGAGTAAATAATAGCCATTGTAAATTAAATCCTATGTAATTATTATGTAAGTACTCATGCAATTACATTTTATTAATGCTTGTGGTGGAGAAATTCAGAGTCCAATAAATAAAACGGTCCCGAAATAATGTCAAGTTACTGGAAATGTCTTTGGGTATATAATTTTTTTAATGTTTATTTATTTATTTTGAGAGAAATTGTGTATAAATGGGGGAGGGACAGAGAGACAGAGAGTTTTTTCCTTTGTTCACAGAGTGGTCTGGGTATGTCATCCCTGTAGCGTAATGCAAGTGTCCTGAGGTGAAGCTGGTAAGATTAGGTTTTAGTTGTTAAGGACAATGGACTAGTTGTAAATATTGTGTCTCACATCCTTCAAGAACAGTAGTAGTTTGAAATTAGAAAATGTGTGTAGTGGGGTGCATGAGTGGCTCAGTCGGTTAAACGTTCCACTTTGGCTCAGGTCATGATCTCTCCATTCGTGGGTTTGAGCCCCATGTTGGGCTCTGTGCTGACAGCTCAGAGCCCGGAGCCTGCTTCAAGTTCTGTGTCTCCCCCTCTCTCTGCCGCTCCCCCTTTAGTGCCCTGTCTCTTGCTCTCTCTCAAAGATAAACATTAAAAAAAAGAGAGAAAGAGAAACGTGTGGAGAAAAATGAGCATGTTAAAAAGATTTTCAGTTGAACCTCGGAATTGTGAACTTAAGGAGACAAAGATGAATGCAGAGTGATATGTTGGCTGAGGTGCAAAAAGAGAGGAGGTGGAAGACTATCATTAAGTTAACATTTTATGTCTGTGATAAAAATGAATTCAATGTTCAGGGTCTTTAGACGGTCAGTTGTTCTGGGTTCAGTCTTGGTGCCAACAGGCTGGTTGATAAGCCGATTTCAGGGTGGGAGCCTGCATTTCCAAGTTAGGGAGACCACGTGTAGAGGAATTCTTCATCGAGCTTGGATTAGTAAGAGGAGTACCCATTTGGAGACCAAAGACACGAATCTATTTTGTTTAATGCGTTTTCCTGCTTTTGAAATCACCCAGCAAAGCAAATGGACACATTCAAAAGAAGACAGTAGATATCAACTCAAACATAATTTAATGTATTTTTTTGTTGTTTTTGAGAGAGATAGAACATAGGCGGGGGAGGGGCAGAGAGAGCGGGAGAGAATCCAAAGCAGGCTCCAGGCTCTGAGCTGTCAGCACAGAACTGAACTCACAAACTGAGAGATCACAACATGAGCTGAAATCAGACGCTCAACCGACTGAGCCACCCAGGCACCCCAACATAATTTAGTGTAAATCTCTGTAATTAAATTAAATTACAAATGGTTGCATTTTTTTAAAAAAAAATTTAATGTTTATTTATTTTTGAGAGAGAGAGAGTCCATGCATGAGTTGGGGAGGGACAGAGAGAGAGAGGGAGACACACAATCTGAAGCAGGCTCCAGGACTCCAAGCTGTCAGCACAGAGCCCCACACGGGGCTTGAGCTCATGAACTGTGAGATGATGACTTGAGCCAAAGTTGGATACTTAACCGACTGAACCACCCAGGTACCCCTCAGTGGTTGCAATTTTAATGCAAATTTACTTTGGAATCTGTTTAAATTTGTAGGAAAGTAGTGAAGAATATAGAGAGAGTTCCCATCTTCCCCCCACCCTGTCTCTCCTGTTATTAACATCTTACATTTCTATGATTTCCATGGTACATTTTGGAAAACTAAGAAACTGGCACTGGCACCACACTATAAATTGAATTGTAGACTTTATTCTTATTTCATCAGTTTTAACACAGATATCTTTTTTTTTTTTCTGTTCCAAGATCCAGTCCAGAGCACCACATTGCATTCAGCCAACATGTGTCTCCAACCTCCTCTTCTCTCTGTCCGACTCTCAGTCTCCTAGGATTTTATGAACTTGACAGGTATGTGGAGGATTGTTCAGGTACTGTGTAGAATACTTCTCAAATTTGTTTTGTCTCATGTTTTTCTCTTATTAGATAGTGCTTATTATATTTAGAAAAACATCTCATCACATCATATTACTGGAAATGAATTATTCATTAATCATCAATCATTACTTATTACTGGCTATGTTGATCTTGACCACTTGGCTATCAAGTATTGGGTAGTGTTTTCTAGTTTCTCCACTATAAAATTTCTATCTGTCCATTCCCATTCTATATTGGTTGGAAGGAAGTCAGTAGGTTTAGCCCAAACACAACAGTGTGAGAGCAGGTGAACTAATCTCCACCTCTTGGAAAGAGGAATATCTGTGTAAAGTATTTAGTATTCTTCTGCAAGAAATAATTCATCTCTTCTCCCTCATTTATTTGTTCCAGTTTTATTTGTATCATCGAGATGTAAGGTACATTGAGAAAACAAGTTAATGTTCCCTTTTGCCCTATTAAATTTGCTTTGCGGGATAAAAATCCCCGGAGGGCGTCATGAATTCCCCAGCTTATGAGGTTAGACAAACAGTATTTTGTATGCTCATATCACATATTTGCATTGCCCTCAACATGCACACTAAGTTCTGCTCATGGGCAAAAAAATAACCTAACAAAGTGCTCATTCTTCCCTTCATGAATCCAAAGTTATGATTAGTGCAGATCACTGCATCAGGAGTAAGGACAGGCAAGGGATCCAGAAGGTCCTTACAGAACTGGTTCCTAGTGTCTGTTCTCTGGTCTCAGCAGGTATGTACAGCTTCAAACTTTCATTTGAGAATTTTGGGGTTTTTTGATATATCAGGGTCTTCAAAAAAAATTTTTTTGGCACATTGTAAAGATTATTACAAAACTCTGTGACATCATTTGAGACGTAATCTAAAAATTTACTTGTTGATTTTTATTTTTTGAATTTTTATTTATTTGAAAGAGAGAGAGAGCAGGGTAGGGACAAGAGAGAGAAGAAGAGAGAGACTCCCAAGCAGGCTCCATGCTGTCTGCGCAGAGCCTAGTGAGGGGCTCAAGCTCATGAAATGTGAGATCATGACCTGAGCTGAAATCAAGAGTCGGATGCTTAACCGACTGAGCCACCCAGGTGTCCCTACATTTATTTTTTTGAAACTAATCTCCCTTAGACTTTATTTAGGATGGAATCAGCAGAAGGGAGAGATTTTTAATAGAGTGTATTTCATTTCACTCTGACTCATACTTGATTTCATTTCCTTGGGGAGCTCACACATCCAATAGCATGTTGGAGATAGAATCACAGACTTGGGCATGTTGACCATATGGTGTCATAGCTTCCCTGGAAATATCGGGCAGAAGGGGCCCCATGAGGCAGATGCTGCTGGAGCCCTGCAAGCCCAGGATTTTCTACGACGGAGGCGGACCACACTGGAGACAGAGCTCTCATTGGTTGGTCTTAGATCCTGTTCATGTCATCCACCTCTTAGAAGCCCTGTGCGTGATCAGGTACAGAGATTACCCATCACCCCAGAGATTATTTCCACATGCCTGTCTGCAGTCATCTCCCCCGACTCACACCTGGATTCTCCAATCTAATCTCCATCAGATTTTTACATTTTTCGTAATATCATATAATTGGAATACTACATTATATAACTTTTTGAAACTGATTTTTTTCACTCAGCATCATGCCCTTGATATTAAACCATGCTGAGGTGTATATTAATAGTTCGTTCCTCTTTATTCCTGAGTGACATTTCATTGTATGGATATGCCACGGTTTTTTTTTTTTTAACAAAAAATTTTTTTTAATGTTTATTCATTTTTGAGAGTCAAAGAGTGAGTGAAGCAGGGGCAGAGAAAGAGAGGCAGACATAGAATCTAAAGCAGGCTCCAGGCTCTGAGCTGTCAGCACAGAGCCCGACCTGGGGTTTGAGATCATGAGATCATGACCTGAGCTGAAATTGGATGCTTAACAGACTGGGCCACCCAAGCACTGACTGGGCCACAGTTTGTTAATCCAACAATTAATTCTTAAACATTTGTGTTGTTTCAACTTTGCCAATTACACTATAATGCATAAATACTCCATAGATGTATTTTTTGATGATGTAATTTTTAAAATTTCTATGTGTAAATATTTGAGGTATTCTGAAAGATGTAGATTTTATAATCATTTACTCTTCAGCTTAAATTTTTAGATTCCAGGGTTGCCTGGATGGCTCAGTCAGTTGAATGGCTGACTCTTGATGTCAGCTCAGGTCATGATTTCATGGTTCATGAGATCAATCCCCATGCACTGTTAGCATGGAGCCTGCTTGGATTCTCTCCACCACCACCCCCATGCCTCTCCCCCGCTCATGCTTTCTCTCTTTCTGAATTAAATAAACATTTTTTTTTAAATGTAGATTTCAGGAGTGCCTGGGTGGCTCAGATTGTTGGGCATCCAACTTTGGATCAGGTCGTGACCTCACAGTTCATGGGTTTGAGCCCCTGTCAGGCTCTGTGCCAACAGCTCAGAGCCTGGAGCCTGCTTCAGATTCTGTGTCTCCCTTTCTCTCTGCCTCTTCCCTGATCGTGCTCACTCTTTTTCTCTCTCAAAAAGAAATAGACATTAAAAAAAATTTTTTTTATGTAGATTTCAGTCATTCCAGAGACGAGAATCATTAACCAAGGACTTTACTTCACTCATGTGCTCCCTTCCTTAATAACTTATGGAGAAAACTCTGTCCTGAATCTGAAATACCTAGATTTTACTACAGGACAGTTTACAAGCTCCTTTTACCTATGAATATAGGTGGCAAATATTAACTTTTTCATCAAAATGAAGTCAGCAATGAATTAAAACAATTTCTTGTAAACATATTTCATAGTAATGCATCAATGCTTTGTTTCCTTTTGATATTGTTAAAAGCAGGAATTTAAAACATTTACAAAATTAGGGGCACCTATGTGACTCTGTCGGTTGGGCATCAGATTTGTCTCAGATCATGCTCTCATGGTTGTGAGTTCAAGCCCCACATTGGGTTCTGTGCTGACAGCTCAGAGCCTGGAGCCTGCTTCAGATTCTGTGTTTCCCTACTCTCTGCCCTTCTCTCGCTCATACTCTGTCTCTCTCGCCCCCAAAAATAAATAAAAATGTTAAAAAATTTTAAAAAACATTTACAAAATTAAAGAGAAGAAAATGCACATTCAAGTACCTTGACAACAGTCTCAAAACTTTGGCCATCTTGCATCATCCATTCCAAAGCCCTCTTTTGGTTGGGGTAAGAGGTGGAGCAGAATGTTTTAATGCCTATCCTAGACACCTTTCAGGATTGGAGATAATTCGTGTCTCACAAATTAGTTGTATGCCATGAAAATTCATCTCTCAAATAATTAACCCTTGGGTTCCTGGTTG